GGAAGAGGAAGAGGAGGAAGAATAGGAGGACTGTGAGTTCCTTGGTGCTCTCTGAGCTTGGTTGTTTTTTTGCAGACATTTCGTTACCCAACTACGGTAGGTAACATCATCAGTGCTGGAAGGGAGTGAGGTTTACAGAAGGGAAGAGGAGGAGGAGGAAGAAAAGAGGAGCAGGAGGACTGTTGGGGTCCTTGGTGCTCTCTGAGCTTGGGTGTTTTCTTGGCAGACGTTTCGTGACCCAACTAGCTAACATCATCAGTGCTGGATGGGAGTTGGGTTTACAGGGAAGAGGAGGAGGAGGACTGTGAGGTCCTTGGTGCCCTCTGAGCTCGTTTCATGACCCAACTAGGTAACATCATCAGTGCTAGGAGGGAGTAATGGTTGCAGGGAGGGGAGGAGGAGGAGGAGGAGGAGGAGGACTGTGGGATCCTTGGCGCTCTCTGAGCTTGGTGGTTTTCTTGCAGATGTTTCGTTACCCAACTAGATAACATCATCAGTGCTGGAAGAGAGTGGGGTTTGTGGAGAAGGAGAAAGGGAGGAGGAGAAGGAGGCAGTGGCTTATGGGATCCCGGGTGCCCTCTGAGCTGAATTTTCTTGCAGATGTTTCATTACCCAACTAGGTAACATCATCAGTAGATGTCTTCGGTAGATTGTCTACCCCTGAAGTTCACTGCTGAATTATAATAATAGTTTAAAAACGAGGTTGTTGTTTTTTATATTACTTGCGTTTAGGAGCACGACAAAGAAGCCCTGGACGCTTGGAGAATTGTTAGAGTCAGTGAAGATTTCAGGGTGATTGCATTGGGGCTCCCTGTACCTCGATATTTGGGCAACCCATTAGATCCGCCACTTCGATCTAGGTTTCAGGCCCGTGATGTTTATTATTTACCCTTCAAGGTAAGGAAAATATGGAAAAAAAAATTAATTTTGAAATGTTGGCTTGAAGCACACGGATTCCTTAAGCGGGCAGTCCATTAATTAAAACACAAACTCTACTCAAGATTAAAAGCCATTTGATTTTCTAAAGTTCCACGCTTTGGCATCAACGACTGTATATGTTAAAGCATTTGAGTCAGCAGTAAAACCCAGATATCCAATCTGTCAAAACCTAGTTAATGATATCCTGGAACGGAACGGACCTCGCACAAAAAAAAAAAAAGATTTATACCATCATTTCTGTTGCATTTTCTTTCAGGACCACCTCTCACAACTGTATTTTATTGGAAATAACATTTCAACGGAAAGGTAAATAGGCCCATCGAATTTCTGCGTGAGTGTTCCTAGAATTAACTTTTCAAATCCAGACCTCTGGCTGTAGCATTGAAACGCCTCTTAAAAGTGGTAGCAGAGTTTAAATATTTGTAATAGGATGACAAATAACTCCCCATAATAAATTTAGACCTGAAATCTTTAATCATCCTGAGCTTCAAATTCTGACTGTGTAAAGAGACGGTGATGTATTTTGCAAGTAGCAAAATTCTGATTTAAGTCCTGTGGGTCTGGTTCTAAAACGGCGGTAAATGAAATCACGGTCCCCCAAATTCAGATACTGTGGAAAACTACACTTTGGTTAAAAAGGGAAGGTAGCTGTCCTGCATGCAAAATTAAAAAGGTTTCAACCCCAGTTTTGTTGGCAGGGCAATGGGAAAGCAGATCTCATCTAATTGGTGCAAGTGAATGATCGATTTGTTTTATTTCCAGAATCTCTCAGCTCTTATCCTTTGCCATGACTCTCTGCACCCAAGAATCGTCTTCATTGGGCCTTCCCGATTTCCCTTTGGACAGTCTGTCCTCTGCTGTGCGGATTCTGGTAGGTCTACGCTCATAAGATAGTCCTCAATTTACAAAATTTCACTTAGTGACCTGTTCTGACCCAAACCCTTGTCCAATAAAACAAACACGAACCAAAGGAAACAGAAACCTTTGAATGATTCTTACGAATCCCCAGTTAAAAAGCTGCTGCAAACTAATTAACTTGGACAGGCACGAGCCTCACCAAAACTGTGCGAGGCTGCCAAGGTTAACAGATAAGGTTACCTAGAGATATTTCACAACACAAGAGTCTTCAAATACCAACTTCAGATACTGCAATGTCCACGAGGCTGAGTTTCAAAACGTCTTTGCTTCCTGCAAAGAACGTCTGATTCACAGCTGGCTTTTATCTTCTTGAAGCAGGGGCCATTACCTTGCAGCCTTACTCCCGAGTCGCCTGTGCTGCTGCAGCTGCTCCTTTCTGCGAGCAGCCCCTGCGTGCACGCGCACTTGGCACAGGCTCCTCGGGAACCTCCTCATCGCTGCTGCCAGCCCCCACAATCTCACTCCCTAATGGTCCTGGCCCCTCATCTGAGTCCTCGCTCTCCTCAGCCATCCGCACCTGCTGCCGACTAACCACAACATGACCGTTCAACGGTTGGTTGGTTGGTTTTGTTTTGCAACAAGCCATTTCATAACCTCCCCAGTCAATACAAATGTCAACTCATCAAACATTCCTATGCCTGTTTTAGTAGTTGCCATAAAAAAAAGGAAGGGAGGAGGAAGGAAATCTGGAAGAGCACTGCAGCAATTTGGAAGCGGAAATACATTCCAACTCTTCTCTTTAAAAGATTGTAACTAAACTACCAGAGCTTTTGCCCGCAAATATATTTAATTGGAGAACATGATTGATGACACCCAGCCCAGCTTCAGTTAGAGAGTCTGATTTATGACACACTCAGTGGGGAGAGGGGAAACAGGGTCACAGAGGACTGTAAATTACGTATGCCAGAGCAGCTTCATGCAGGGCAGGGCCAGTATGTCGCCTCTAATGAATCCTTTGAAGTTTTTTGAAGTTTGGTTCGAGAATCATGATTTAATTGGAGCGATGGCTGGAATCCTGACAACAATATTTTAGGCTCAATTTATTCTTTTTTTTTAATGGATTAATCAAAATTAATCACAATTAATAAGTTACAATGAACCACCCTGATCGTGAGATTAATCTTTCTTCTTATAATCTTCGAGTTTCTAACTCCTGTTAATTCTGATTAATTTTGATTAGATTTACTAATTAATACGTATCAATGTTACGAGGGGAAAGCACCGTTATCATGAAATTATCATTAGAGAAGAGTATGATTATGATTATGACGAATGTCACTCTTAAGAAATGTAACCAGCAACACACTGTATGTGGATTTTGAACACGTTCCTCTTTCTTTTTATTTATATATTAATTTAAAATAAAAATGGAACTTGTCTAAATGTCTATGGAATTCTCCATCATCCAGGTTATGGTTGCCCCAAAGATGTTTTTTTTTTTTTTCCTTTCAAGAGGCAACTGGACTTTCTTGTTTTTTCTTTGAAGATGTTTCACTTCTCAGCCAAGAAGCTTCATCAGCTCTGGTAGGTTCAGTGAACACTTCCAATTCCTGTGCTTTGATCTTAGCCCAAGTATCGTCCACATTCAGAGCTGAAGAAGCTCCTTGGATGACAAGCGAAACATCTTCAAGGAAAAACCAAGAAAGTCCAGTTGCCTCTTGGAAAAAAGGCACCTTTGGGACAACTTGTCTAACTATTCAGTAGACCTTTGATTTCCCAGTCCGTTGATGGTGGTAGGTGGATGCCTTAAATTTAAATCTCCACCCTTGGTTGAGGTGGATTTACAACTTTGGCACAATTCTACAAACTCAGATCTCTGCTGCCTCTTTATATTGAGTTACACAGATATCCCAATTGGGTGTGATAGAGGCTTGAAAAATACTAGGAAAAAGGAAGACAAAGGGAAGGAGAAGAGACCCATAAACAGACATTCATTCAAGGGTCTCCTGCTTGAGCAGGGGGCTGGACTAGAAGACCTCCAAGGTCCCTTCCAGCTTCTATTC